CGGCTGCGTGGTGCTTAGTTGCTGGCTGGGGTTAAACCATGACAATGTGTTATTACAGATGATCTGGAGCGCATATATAGTAGTAGGATGCACATTCCAATCCAAACGGTCTGTTCTCCATGGTGGAGAGAACTATTTCCAACACGCTCTGGGCAATTTAGATTTAGTATGCAATTTTGGATACAATAAATGTAAACTTAACGTTGACAATTCCGCAACTATGGGTGTCCTAAATACATGTAACCCAGCATATGAATTAGTTACCGATCTAGAAATCAGAGCAATCTAATACAAAAATAATCTTCTTCCAGCCCAAAAGTGTGGGAATTTTTTAAATTCTTTTTTTCCTTAGACAAGAAGGCAAAAGAATGGGGGGAAATAATTTATCATCCAAAAGTAAAGTGAGAAAGGCTTACACAGATTCCTGTTTGAGACATCTAAAAGTACATTCCTTACCTGTGAAGTATAAAGTGTAAGGAGTAGTAAGACTGGGAAAACAGTAATTCACAAGAGCTTCAAGAAATTTTTCCATTTTTACCTTTTCCGTGAAGCTGATAACTTTTTGCAAAGATGTTGATGACACTGTGGGGACTTCCCTTCGCCAGTTCCTCCCATGGCCCCTTGCTGTGTGCGCCACTTGTCTCAGCGAAAAGTGGCAAATACTTCTCAGCTTCTTTCTGAAGCTCCTTTATGGGCTCAAAAGCATTTCTCTCCCGAATGCAGAAATCCTTCTCTTTTAATGTCTCCAGCATCTTCAGTGGCAACTGTTTGTGCTGGCCTCCTTCCTCTTCAGAGAGGCTTCCGTCACTCAGGAGAGGCCCTTCACTGATGGAGTCGATGCTGGACTCTTGAGGAATTACAGCTTTGTTCAGAGTGTAAGCCTGGTTTTCACGCCCTGGAGAGTCAGTCTGTCTCTTAGATAAATGTCCTAGTATCCCTTCATGCCTGTTAGCAGCAGGGGACCTCATTCCAAGGCTGACTGCAGCAGTATGAGGCCTGATCGTCTCAGGGAGCTTTTTAAATTCACTAAGGTTGCCTACTCCAGGAAAGTTGTCATCAAAGGCTGTATGAGACACACAGGTACCCAACATCTTTTGAATTCTGGCTGAAAAAGCATCTTCATTTTCCTCTCTCACAGGAGGACTCACAGCCTTTGCCCACCGCCCATCATCCTGGTTTTCTTGCAAAAATTCATGGTCTGAATTCCACAAGGTACCATAATTGATAGCAGCCCCAGCCAACTTTTTGGCTTCACTTTCAATCCTGCTAGAAAGGGAAGCAGCTGTAGCTTTCAAAGCTTCAATCCGATCTAATTTGCTCTTATATTGGTTAGCAGTAGGTTTTACTAAGAGATTTTGCTGTGCAGTGGGTGAATTCAGGAATGGCTGAGGCATCAAGTTCAGCGATCCCACGGGTGCAGCATGGCTCCTCCTGCCTGCCAATATTGCGTTACACTCCTTTGACAAAAGGTCCATCTGCTCCAGACTCCAGTGCTGGGAGCAAGGGCCTCCACTTGAGCCCATGAGAGCTTGGGGGTGAGAGAGATGGACTCTTGGGCTCAACCTGTCTGGCTGTACCCACGGAGGCTCCATCAAATCGCTCCTGAAATGAAAAGTCAAGATTTAAGTTGATGACTTATACAAGTACTGTTATTTTACATTGAAGTATCATTGCCACAAATTTATTTTTTAGGAAGAAATACTTTTTTATGGAGTCAGGGGGGCAGGGAATGGGACGGTAAGCAGTTACAGAATGTTATTTAAAAAAACAAAAACAAGCCCACAACACAGCGCCTTCCAAATTTGAAATGCTGTTTATGGTGTACTGTGTGTTTTAGAGTTGTAACAAGCTGAGTGTTTTCAGCAGCAGCAGTAAGTCTTTTCCAAAAGTTTCCTGACTTCAAAAGGGAGGACCCCTTGGAATTTCTTAGCCCCAGCCTTCCCCCTCCAGTTGAACCCAGACCATGTTTCACTGCAGCTGTCACTTAGGGTAGGCATGAAGAACACTTAGAGAAAAGGAGGACTGGAAATACAAGGATGTTTAAAATTCTGTAAGACATCTTTTTTATTTCCAGATAGCTCCCATTTGCATAACAGGAGCTCTATACCGACCTTCCTTCGCTAATATCACTTGCACATATTCTGAATACTAGGAAACCTGGAAAGTCCCTCACAAAAAACTGCTTCTCTGCTTACTACAAGGCTCTCCAAATAACTTATGCAGCCCTTTAAGTCTCATCTCTCCCCTACTATTAGTACTTACATTTTTTCCTTACAATGTTACACTAACAATATTTACTACCATATGGTTTAGCAGCCTATTCTACACGCAGTACTACATAGCATTTCTAGTGCTTCCTTGAACTTTTCCAGAAAGGGAACAGGTCACGTTGAATTCACAAAGTCAGCGTGGATTTGACCAAGTTAAGGTACAGGTAATGAAGCAAGTATGTATTTAAGAATCAGACATTCATTATGTAATTAAAAATGAAGACACACTTGCATAACAGGGATATTAAGGATATGCAAGAAGCGATTATTTTCAGTTGCTTATATTTAAGTGTTTGGTTAGGCACCTTGACTTAGAGTAAGAAAAACTTTTATAATACACTGAGCAATTAAAAATGGGGAAAGCAGCATGAAAGGAAATAGGGAAAGGCTTCCAAGCAGAAGCAGAGGTTTTTGGTACTTTAGAGACAGTAACTAAAGGCCTGAATCCAAGACAATAGATTAAACAGAAACATTGAAGAAATCAAATATGAAAAATCAACAGACATATTCATATGATCAGCTTCTCTTGCCCAGTGGCAATGGCAGAGGAAATACAGTCTCCCAATGTGAAATGCGCATCCCCTTGATGTCAACAAAAGATTAACAGCAACCACCGTTCACTTTATTTATTTACAGACTCACTAAATACCCATAGCCAAAATTTTCATATGCTTTCTTGCATCAGCTTCCTCTTTACTGCAAGGAAACGTTGTAATTGCCATAAAGACAATTACTCTCACCAGAACATGAACTTAAGTGCCTAGTCTATTTGCACCTCTCAGAGATGAAGACTAGAGTATTTTCCTCTCTCTCAAAAGGCACACAATGGCTCACCTCAGTAGCGGCTGCTGCGGTTCTGAAAGCGACATGTCACTACTTGAAGATGCACTTGGAGGACGCTCTTGAGCCTTGTTTTCTTTGTCGGATTCCCCAGATGGTTGATAACCAGGTCTGGGCTAGAAATGAAGACAATCAGAAAAATGCATTTTCAATAGTCTGCAGGAGTTTAGAAGCTCTTGTCTCATTAAAATTGAAAAGGCTTACATTTCTCAGTGTAGCATCACATCTTTCCTACCACACAAAGATTTAAAAACACAAGACATTTATGTTTTTGCCTCAGCAGAACGTACTGAGAAAAAAGCTTTCCTCACATCCTGAACTAGTTCAGCCAAACATATAAAATTGATGTTAGTCTTTTACCATACATTAATCTTCCTTCATTTTCAGTTTCTGATTAGCAAACTTATTTAACTCATTGCTAATGAAGTTTGTCCACTGACTGAAAGCAACTTCAGACAAAGCTCTTCAATTTACCATTTGACTGATGTTAACAGTTTTCTTAAGAGCCAACCTTTATAGCTGCTGTTAGCTAATATCCAGAATTCTGCTTCTATTTATAATAGAAAGATGATTTCCATTCACCTTTCTAGTAGGCCTTGCTGTGCCAAAAAGCAGCCACTAGCAAGGAGGCTCCAGATGAAAACCGCTATGTTTAAGCAAAAGCTACACAGTTTTCTTTGTATCCTTTTTCTTAACTGATAACCAGACCAGGACAAGTCATGACCTTCCTAAACATATGACCTCCTATTTCTGCAAACAACTGCAACACATTAGGTTAGTGAATCAGCTATACCTGTGTTTCCTGCACTGTAGGCAGCTGAGGTGGCTCTTCTAAAAATGTACGTTCCAGCAATAGTTTAGAATAGGTTTCCTGTAACCGTTTGGTTGCTGAAGGCTCAGGAGGAGGCACATTCTTTGCTTTAGTAAAAGCTTCCTTCTGCTTTCTGTAGAGCTCTTGGAGCCTTTTGTTCTTCTGTTCTGTTGCCTCCTTTTGTGCTTTCTTCTCTTCATTCTGCTTCTTCTTCCTCTCCTCTTGCTGCCTGATGATGTACTGACGAACCTCATCTGTATCATAGTGACGTTTCTTAGAGATCACCTGAGGCTCCTCACTGGCAGCTATCTTGTCCGGTTTCCTTTTGGTTGGATTGTGGCTCTTGGCATTTTGAGCAGGCAAAACAGGTTTCTGATTCTGCTTTTCCACATCTTTCTCTTGCCTTGTACTCATGGAATCCAACTGCAAGTCATCGAGAATTCCACGTATCTCCACGGGCAGGAAGTCCTTATTTACAGAGAGCGGCTTCCAGTTTCTTCAGATTATTCTCAGACCGTACTTTACTTCTTGACCTTTCAGAACTTCTTGAAGGTGTTTTACAGGTAACATCCAGTCTAGAATCTGAACCTGTCCTTCCAATACAGCCTGCTAAAGAATAAGACTTGTCAAATATTTCAGGTAAAAATCAAATTCGGGAAATTACATGCCATCACTGAAACAGCTGCAAAATTGAGGATGAGGGAGGAGTGCAGATCTCACTGTAAATGTGCTTTTGCTTCATTCAGTGTCGTAGTCTGAATACAGCAGCCTTTGCTTAGACAGAGCTCACACCTTTTATACTCTCTCACCAGCCTTACCACCTCACAGGCATAAGAAGCACAGTAGCTACCACCACCCCTTACTTGCCCTGTCTGAGAGTCTGTATAAATTCTGAAAAGGGCTGGTGGAGGTATCAATGAAGATTTACAATGCACATGGATGATGTTATATAGTATCTGGAAGAACCACAACCCTGTAAAACAGGGATGCCCAACCATAGCTTATGTATTATATGCAGCACATCTGGAAAATGCAGCTGGCCTGTGGACCACTGCTACCCATTCGTTTCCCCACTAGCTTCAAGAAGCAAAGACAGATTGCAGGTGATCCATTTTTCTGTTTGCAACCTATTTCTCATCTTTTCAAGAGCTCCTGAGCACCTTCGCAGCATGTACTGCCCCTCAAGTCACATGCGCAGGGCAGGCTTCCCATGACACCAAGAAAAGTTCATAATCCACCCAGGAAGAAAGGTTATGCATCCAAACCATAGATGTGAGCAAAATTCTCTCCCCTCGAATCTCAGGTTAAAAACAGGAGTTACTTTAATAAGAAACTGATTACATTCTATCTCAGAAGTCTGCTTTATTCTGCAGACATGCAGTGTTATATAATAAAGTAAGTAAAATGAAAAAAGTCCAGTGATAAAAGTACAACTTACCAGACTTGGCAGCTCGCTCTCGTCCTGTTCTGTCACTAGATACAGCTCTTCTGTCCTGTTCTATCCTGGGAGCTGGACCCAGTATCTTTTTTACTAGCTTTTGTCCCTCCCGCCAGGAGGATGCACTTATTACATAGTTTCCACCTGCATGATAAGTAATAAATAAAAGTCAAGCACTAGATGGATTTTCCAATGTATCAGAAAGAAGTATTTATTGCAACCATTAATCATTTTTATATCATTTAGTTCTGCATAATTGGTACGGCTGTAGTTACACAAAACAGTCGTAACAGGGGTGTACCATGAAGACACTCAAGAGCTGACTCACACAACTACCAATGCTTCATGCCTACACATAACACAATGTAAAAATCCAAAACATACTGTAGCGCATTAAAGTCCTACAAAAATTGATTTAAAAAAGAAAAAAGGGTTACACAGGTCTAAAATGTATAAGCAAACGTTACTGGGGAGAGGGGAAATATTTCTAGAGGACTGAGAAGCTGTTCATCTCCACTTAAAAAAGTAAAATAAGAAAAAAGATAAAAGGATCTAAAATGTTGTAATAATAAGAACAAAAATAAAGGTGGGAGATAAAAAATGATTCACCTTCATATTAAAAGAATATTAGCTGATATTCTAGAAAAAATAACACTTTACAGATTTTTACAGATAATTAATTGTTGAGATAGGTGTCTTGTGAGGAGGTTAAAAAATACCCAGCAGCAGTTGTTGTATGCCAATGCTAACTCACTGTCCTCTAGCTGGGATTTCTGTACCATGACTGAAAATAGTTAAGATAAACCCTATTGGTTGATACTTAATTCAAGAACAGACTATGTTGCAGGTGACAGAAACCCAATCAAAGTGTTATTAGTATTATTTCATCGTCCTACGTATAATTGAATGATAAAAACTGGGTATGGTGGCATCTTTACCTAACATTGGTTAGATTAAATGCTAGGTTTATTCAACTCACCTTTCACCCCACTAGCTTCCAACACTATTAATCATTTTTTGAAATAGTGATCTTAAAGAGCTTTGGAGAAAAGCATCATATAAAAAAGAAAAGTATTAATAACCTAATTCAGACCATTTAGCAGTACTGTATTGCTAGAAAAGTACCTAACTTGAATACACAATTTGCAGTTGATTTCTAACCATTCAAACAAACCCAGACACTGCAGCGTGAAAACATCACAGCCAAACAGAAAGGGATTGTGCTCTGGGCCCAACAGCACTTCGAAGACCTGGTACCAAAGCAACTTCAAGTGAAATCCAGGACAGCAGACCAATTGTGTTTTGGCAATCCCAGTCCTCAGACCCCCCCCCCCCCCCCTTTCTTTTCTTTCTGTTATTTTAAACCAGAAGGAGGAAAACTGTTCAGTCAGAAGTCTGCAGCCCACTATTCATTCATTTATTAACAGTACTCCTTGCTTGCATTGTAAATTATTCAAGTATTTTATAAATCTGTCACTTGAAACATGTCACTACAAGCCTCTTTGAAACAGACCTATCAGCCAAAGGGGTTCTCTTGACGAACTCACTGTTCTCAATTACTTCTGTGTGCATTTAAAAAGGCAGTGTAAAGTCTCATCTTCCATTTCAAGTCAGCTGTTTGAACTAAAACACGCTAACGGAGCAGAACATGAGCTGTGGCTATTTATAGCCTTGGCTATGTGAAGCAGTTTCTTATTGCTATGGCTGGAGGAGGACGGACCATCATGGATATGCCACTTAGATCTGGTTCTTTTCTTCTAGGGATTTCAGGCCATCATTCTCCTCAAATTTAACCCATTACAGAGAATAACCATTGCCATTAAAACCTGCAGCAATCTATGTGCTCCTCCCTCACTTGGAACTGTCACAAATAAGGAACTTTACTAAACTAACTTATGTAAGTATGAATTAATTGGCATAGGAAGGAGCAAATCCATACTTATCACTTTCTTTTAAGTATTAGCATTCATTACCACAAAATATTCACATGCAGCTTCATGATTTACAGCATGCAGAAGCACATATTCACTCTCCAAAAACCCCTTTGTAATAATTTTTTAAAACAGCTTTTTTTTCTTCAACCAAGTGTTTACTGACTATGGGTCACTGTACGTAAGGAGAAATATAAAACCTTAAAAGGTGCAAGAGATGTCTAACCTTGCATGTATTTAAAGAAAAAAAAAATTGCTCTGTAGTGTGACTGCAGTCTAACTACTTACTTTGTATGAAAATTAAAACCAAATACGAAGCAGATGTGGAAGTCTTCCTAATTCTTTTGCTACACACAATATCAAAGATTAACATTATTGGAAAACTAAGAAGCACTGACAGAATTCCACATGTACTTAATTTCTTTTTCTACTATAAGGCACTGCTCTACAGTAACTCGCTCACATCATCTTCTCTAAATACTTTAATTTTATTTAACAGACAGCAGAAATGTCAGACAACAGTGAAAAGAAAAAATTCTTAATTGGTAAAAGAAATAAATATTCTTTTATAAATATGAAGATTTCTAAGATTTGTCAGGGAACGTGTTTTTACATTTTTTCACTAACTGAAAAAGCCAGGAATGTGTCAAACCAGAACTGAAGGTGCAGGACAGCAACAACTTCACACAGGATGAAGAACAACAGCCAGAGAAGAGCCAGAAGGACATCCTGTTCTCTGCTTCCCCATTGAGAAATCACACAAGAGAACAACTTTCACTGCAGCCCCTCCTCGCAGATGAGGGCAACTCGGCAAGTCCTGCTGGCCCTGATTTTAATATCATCTCCATTCCTCCTTTCAGCATTATTCACTGAGCTGTAGGTCGGGCACTAACCAGCTTCAACACAAGCGAAACAGAAGCAGGATCCAGAACAGAGTTATTGCTACTTTTTGTCCGTGTTGGCCTGACAGATACCTAAGGATACCCGTGTGTCGTGTCCCGTCCTGTCCGTCCCCCCCCCCCCCCCCCCACACCCCCTTCTACACTCCTCCTTTCCCAGGATTTTATCCCCCGCCCCCCCCCCCCCCCCCCCCCGCAAGAAACACACACTCTTCAGAAGTTTCCATAAGGTGCACACAGCAAGTGGAAAGGCAGAAAATGAAAATAAACCAAAAAAAACGCACGCACAGCCAACCAACCAACAACAAAAACATACACATCCCAATGCAGCATAGAGCCTACAAAGACACTACAACAATGTTATTGCACATCTGAGAAGACTTCGAAAGCAATACGGTTTAATTTTTCTTTATTTCTTGAGAGAAAACTCATCTCTGAGGGACATGCAGCAGTCTTCCCTCTACAGTAAAGCTAGTCACCTTGTTTGGACTCTGGACTTGACAACCGTGTCAGTTTTTGCACTTTCCGCACTGGTCTGGTTGCTTTTTTCTCTTTGTTTCTCTCACTAGGTTTTCCTTTCACTGTTGAATCCTCTAAAAACAAACAAAAGCTGTTAAGTGATATCCCACAGGAAAGAACACAGAATAACAAGCTTGCTTCAACATTTACCTTGAAAAAACAGAACTCAAAGGAACACAATAAAATTCACTGACTCTTCCAGATTATATATTGGGATCAATTACTCCCAATCCAGCATTTTAAAATCCTCATAGCATGAAAATTATGAATCAAGTGCTGTTTATCTACGCACTGGAACGCAGCGAAGCCACACCAATGCCATAACAGATCTTTACAAAGCTCATTTTCAATTTTAAAAGAAACGTTGACAGTTTGACAGGAACAATTGCTGGTTCTCTTCTACCACAGATACTACATTTTACAGTATTAATGTTCCACAAGAACACGTAGTTCCTTCACTCCTGAAACACACGGGCTCCTCCTTCCTCAACGCATGACAGCACACTCACTCGTTGCCTCCATGCTGGAGCATAAAAGACAGGATACCTATGCGCTCTACTTTCTGCAAAACTTGTCGCAGAATTCACCCGGTGATGCACAACTATCCTATATCACTTAAGCCCTCATTTACAACACAATTAGGTTTTAGGCTTTAGAGATGCCAGGAACACTTACCAAAGATAAAGTCATATTTTACCATGTTTTCACATTAGGGCAAAGAACAAAAAGGAAACCTGAGATATGGCTCAATCACCACCCCACTGAGTGGGCTTCCCAGCTGCCTAAGGTACAAAGCAGAGACAAGCATTGCTCAAGAAGAACAGGCAAGGTGTATACTCAGTCTCAGCAGTCTACACTGGACATTTTCAAAGATTTATTAAAGCACTTTAGTTTACATGCTTTGAAGATGCTCTTTTCTTAATCCCAAAAAGTGAACTGTAGATAAGGAACTCCATGGCCACTATTACCACGGTTTTCTTGTTCCTCTTCTATAAAGAATGTGATCAGACAACCTAAAACAACCAGGATGCAACCCCCTCCATGGACAGATCTGATGCTTTATTTAGATGACAATACTAACTTTTACAACCCCTAATTTCAGTTGAATCCACTCTCTCATGTATGCCTATAGAAGTATCAGAGACAGAATAACAGGTCACATTAAAGGATGCAGGAATGGAATTTTAAGAGTCTTTCTCCTCCTTAATATCCTCTCCTTACAAATTTTCCAGTCGTCTTTAAGGCTGACAAGTGCAGGGAAGATGGAATCAATGCATCAAATACCAGAGGCCTCAGTGACTGCATCTGCAGAAATCTAGCTTGCCTCCTCACCTCTTTCAGTAACAAACAGTTCCTTCCTGATACCAGGAAACCGCAAGTTGCTTCCCACTCGCTCTATTCATATTACAGCAATTTTGCTCTAGTGAGGCCTATCCTGAACATCTTTAAGGCAGAATTACTGGAAGCTTGGGGTCCATACAATATCCTTTAGCTTAACTGCTAAGCCAATATGAAGACATTCTGTATGGTCTACGCTTACACGTAAAAACCTTGCTGCAGTAAAGAACAATGCTTCTGGAGATATTGGAGATATTATAGCTTATTTTAGCACTAGAGAGCATGAAACAGTTCTGATACAACTGACTGTACACACCCAGAACTCCACATGCTGTAACTTTACTACAGAATTAACACATGGATAGATAATCTGACCACCTAGAAATACATTTACAGTATATATTATGTGCAGCAGCAGCGCTTGGTTACTTGGAATCAACTATTCAATCTAATCTTTTCAGGTCAGAAAGGAGACATGTTCCACAACAGCTGTTCTACGCAGGGCATCAGGACAGGCGTATGGCTGAACACACACACAGCTCCTTCCTTCTGTAGACAGAAATCCACTGAACACATGATCCAAATGCCTTTTTAATTGGACCTCTTCAACAAAACTTTAAAAAAATTTGTATTTCTAGAGAGACCTCATGAATCATTCATATTATGCTTGTCAAAACTGAAAAAGAAGCTAGCATAGACAAAAAGTCTTCAGAGATTTGACATTAAATGCATGGATTGATGCTGAAGAGTATTTGCAAAACAATTTTATTGAAAAGAAGCTGCTGTCCTTTCTGAACTTTTCTTTGAGTGATTCCAGAAAAATTCCTCAGTGCCTTGTCGAGCTGTACAATCTAATAATTTCCATACCAGCCGCTATACTATTAACATACAAAGAGGTTTACAATCTCATCACGTTTCCTCCAGTCTTAAATATGTTTTGATCAATTAGAAAAATTATTTTTAATACGTAATAAGCAAATTCTTAAGCTGCAAAAGTAGAGGTTCTTTGGGGATTTTATCTTCCATTCCCTTCCTCTTTATTCATCTGATCTCTTCCCCCTCCCCCACTCAGTCAGTCAAAAGCAATTCAACCTTACAGCACTCCACTGTAACCAGCCTAGCAAACCAAAAAGCACACTTGGGCATCCTACCCTGTACCACCCAGAGAAAAGAGAGCTGCCAGTGGCACTGCAGTTTTTCAGAGTGAAAAATTAATGAAGATTGGGTCTTGGAAGAGTAAATTTGAAAACATAAAGCATATATTACAGTTTTGGTCTTTTAGCAGTGTAACTGTCAAGCAAATATACGGCATTTTTTTATCATCTTTGCTCAAATTTTTAAGCATCGAATATTGTGTTGCTAAATGAGTTCATCACCTAAAATAGACCTTTTTTACTGTGTTGCCATTTTGCAACAACAATATTTAAATGTTTTTCAAAAGACCGTTAAGCGAAGAGGAACGAGTAGCTAAGCTTTTAGCATTCAACATTCTCTCCTACACCTTCATGTGGAATAAACCCCAAAGGTAACATTCTATTAATTTACCACTGCAAAGTTACACAATCCCCCCTTCCATATCCTATCCAAGCCTTACAATAATGAAGGTAAAAGAGTTGTAGAGGAAATAAAATCTAGATTATTTAAAAGGTTTCTTAAACCTTCTTCTGGTGTACCTGTTCTCGCACTCCTCAGAGAAACCAGGGAAAACCTCTAAAAAAATCCTTGCGTACAAAACTCTGGGACACAAATTTCTCCAAGAATTTCAAGACTTGAATTATTCTGATATAAAGCACTAAAGTTCTACAAGTTTAGAGATATTAAACCAACCTATATAATCTCACCTCCACCACACATACCTGAAGGCATACCCCTTTTACTGCAGGCTACCTCCTAATAAGCATTGCCAGAGGCTTTCCACAGCAGATGCCCCTCATCTCCCCTTTAGCTACCTATACGTTCCAACTACACTGCTAACAATTCCCAAAGCAGCTTCAGGACTGACAATTTGTTAACACCATACTGAAGGAAGTAGAATTCAGGCTTCAACAAAATGGTGCACAAATCACTTTAACAGTGCTAAGGGTGGCAAAAAAATATCAAAATTATCCCCATGAGACAATATAGGTTTTATCAAAACCAAAAAGTGGTTTGGTTTTGTCCTTTTAAACAGGAAATTGCATTCATTCACACAAACGTATAAAGAAGTTACAAAATTAAACAAAAACTGTTCTAATGAAAACTTTTTTTTAATTCCTGTTTCAAAGAAAAATCATCATTTGATTCTTTTCAGTATTGATTTTCTATTAAAAGTATTTTAATGAGAGAATGGGGAAAAGGATTTTTTTTTTCTGTTTTAGTGTTCAACAAGTTACTTCTCCTGTGGAAAGAAGTCCAATATAATTAACAGTCATTGCTTCAATTTTTTGTTTCCATGACTTTGTAGACTTGTACAAAATGAATTTCTCTGCCTCTTAGGGAAGGCTGTGTGGCTTAATCCAGTTTGTGTCTCACCTGTTAACTGGAGTGCTATATCTCTATACAGCTCCCGACGAATGTGAAATTCTTCCTCATGCCAGATCTTTCCATCTGCAGTGCGAATCTTTGTTTCGGCAGGATTGAAACCTGAAAGTAAACAATTTAAGAGTTTAAAATAACGGCGTAAAATGTAAATAAAGCTTTTTCAGGGTGGAAGTGGTGGGAAACTGCCAAGTAAGAAAGGAATTACTTGAATTTCTAATGCTAAATTAGAAGAAAGCAATATACCAGTCTGCCACTTGCTCACAGTTGAAAAACAGCAGACTGAACGAAGACAAGATTCTTAAAAATGTGAAATGCTTTCTCAATCAATACACTGTTACTAACCTCTGGGACCATAAAAAAAATAGTAAAATAAACCCAAACACTACTACAGTGAGCTTCTTTTTTATAGTAATTTGCAAGAAGAGACAGGAAGAATTTCAAAAGAATCCACAATCCTGTGAACTGGCAAGAATTTATTTTCTTTCTTGTCCTATCTGTGATCAAACCATGCTATCCGCTCCTGTATTGCCCAAACACAGCTATGAGTCATGTCCATGCTTTGACATGTTGCTCAATGAATTGAACTCCGCTCCTTCACCACGTATGACCAACAGGGAGGGATTCTGCACCTCCGTACCTCTGTACGATGGAGCAGCAGGAGCAGCTGCCACTTTCCTGACTTTGGGAGTCACTGCATTCTCCATGTTTGTGATCACGACAGGTTGCTCAGCATATCCCAAGTGCTGCCCTCTGCCACCTAGCTCTTCAGAATGCTCCCACTGCTTTCGAATCCGCTCCTTCAGCTTCTCCAACTTTGCATCATGCTGCCGCCTCTTCAAGATTTCTAGCCTATGAGCACTAGAAGTACTCGTGGCAGAAGGGGAAGACACTTTCAGTTCACTGTCCTGGGATGTGTTACTCTGCGGAGTTTTAGCGCTACTTTCGTCTCCTCTGGAGCCACTAGTTTTTTCCTCTTCCAGTCTTGGAGGTGTTGCAACCCTAAGAAATGCCTCATTATTCTGCAAGGCATCAATTGCTGGTCGGTCATTCAAATATCTAACAACAGTCTCATCTGCAGCAGAAGAACATGGGCTTTCAAAATCTCTGCTGTGTAGATCCCGTTCATCTCGGTCATGTATCATGCGGCCTGTTATTTCAGTCTTCCCTTCTGCTTCGCTGAGGTCCAAACTAGAGAGCAGTTGCTTGGCCTCAAGTTGGCTAGAACTGTGATAAGACAGCGAACTGTATGTATCCCTGATGTAACAGAAGGAAAAAGAAAGTCACCATCAGAAACACAACTGTACGACCTTCCAACCCAGCAACCATCATGTTCATTAACTAAAATAATTACTTCCTATACCTTTTCTCCACTTTAAAGACAAGTTCTTTTAAAGTTTGATCACCATACGTTTAATAGTGCAAGTCTGACAAAACTGAAAGAGGTTTCTGTTCAAAACTTAATTTTCTGCACTCTCTAGCCGAACAGGACTATATATAAAGTTGAGGAGCTGAAATTAGGGCACCCTTCAATTTTTAAAAAAAAGCTTTAAACAAAAACCAAGGGTAAAACTTAAATGAGAAGCATCATTGATATACGTTCTCTAAAACAAAGCAATGCACACATGCACTCTTCCTGGAGAGCATATTCATTAGCTGAGAAAACCTCTGCCCTGTATTTGAGTGTGAAAAAGGCAAGCCCCTGTCAAGAACTTCAGAGTGAACTGGCTATATTGCAACAACCGTAAAGCTTACTGAGAGCTCAGGAATTCAACAAACTAAGGATCTCTCAGCATTTTTTTCACAGAAAAAACAGACTCCACATTTGAATGGACTCATGGTACACATGTTGTTAGGACAAAAAATATTTAATATTTTTACCGATGAGTGGCTGAAGATGTGAAAATCTGGCACCTAAGCTAGCTGGCTTGCTTCTTCAGCGAGTGTGTTTACAGAATTCATTTAAGCCAGGTCATAATACTGTACTTGTGAAGTTGTCTACCTCGCTTTCTCTAGTAGCACACTTCTGTCATGTGGTATAGTAATCATTACCAATCAACAGAAAAGTTGAGTGCTTTAATTGCACAGAATTTCACCAAAAGTACATGTATACATACACATGCACATTGATTGTTCTAGCCATTATTCTGGTTTTTGTTTTCCTATGCACACTTTAAGCATAGGCTACAGGCTGTTCTCAGAGAAGGAGTAATGTATTAATGTAGCAGCTCTGATGTTAATCCCCAACTTAATGCCCCCCAATGCCACAGTCTTCTTACTCTAAGAAAGCTATTATTTTCAATTTAATACAATGGCATAAGTCTAGCTGCTCTCATTTTCTTCTTTCCCCTGAAGTCTGTTAAATTTACTACATGTTTTTAAAACAAATAACTGATGTATGTAAGTTATTCCAGATAGGGTAGACAACAGAGCTGTTCAATTAACAAAACTGACCCAAGATTACACAATTAATCCACATCAGCCTCCCATGCAACAAGGAAGGAGAAGAACCTCACAGCTGACACAAGAAGTGGAAAAGGAGACCAAAACTTAGATGTTAGGATAATAACTATTAATAGAGATGTAGTGGAATTAAAAAAAATACTACTGTCCCAACTCCACTCTACAACAATTTGACAACAGCAGAAGTCAACAGCAATTTGACTTCATTGGGAGAACGTTTAGAAAAAAAATGCAAAGTATGTGTTAGAATCCAATAAAAAACTATTGCCAACCCAATCAAGCTATTCATCAGGGATAAGGCCTGTGCAAAGAACACACACTGCTTATAAAACACAAGGAATTGAAGAAGGTATGGTAAAGGTCTTCTAGGCTCTGATATTACAGCAAGTTATAACTAGCTCATTTCTGCTGCAGGTTCTCTTTCTTTTTGAAAGCTTTTGAGGCATCTTATATTCACTACAGTACTTAACGTAGCCTAGGAAAAACAGGCTTTCCGCATTTTCCTTCATTCCTCACACCCCATCATGTCCTATGGCCTGCAATATTCTGTGCCACTTTTTCTCCTTGATACAGCTGTTCTTATTTGGGTTTCTCATACCCACAAAAACTGAAGGCATCTTTAGTACTAGATGTTCTTGCTCTACACTGTTGTACGGTAATACATGTGGCAATGTGCGCTGAAGAACTAACGAAACAAAGTTGGAAAAGCACAAGGAAATACTCTTTTTGGTCCTTGTTACTGAAATTAAATACCTATCAAACCTATCAGGCCACTGAGGCCACAGCCACTTAGAATTAGCTTATTTCTGATCTTAGCATATTTTTCTTTAATAGTCAACCGTCACAGCACTAACCTGTATGATGCCAATGGTTCACGAAATTCCACACGATTGCTTTTTTTCACATTGCTTTCAAGAGTGGTTGCCCGAAGAGGGCTGCGTGAGGACTTCTCCTTGCTTGATTTGTTTTGGCTGGAGGACCGGGAAGCTGAAGTAGAAACCAAAGAATCCTCTATGTACTTATCTCTCCAGAAAGAGAAAGCTCTTCGGGCTGAACGATTAAGAACGCAGTTTTTCTTGGGTTCGAGCAGCACTCCAAAATAGCATTTGAAGTACTCCCTCTCTTTTTCAACAAGCTGATTTCAACAACTAGAGGCAAGGTGGTAAGTGCTTGAAACAATAATCATATTTAAAGAGAGAGATAATAATGCTTAAACATTAATTATAAATAAGCAAATCCGTGAAAGTTGATTGTGTTGCCACTAGAGGTCGATATGTCTGTTCTTCTCCAGTGCCACGCTACCAGAATGCTCTAAATAGTATTTAAAACGAGGGCTTATATCTTATAAGCAAATGCTGTCCTTAAAATGAAATAAAGGAAGCATCAGATTTAGCGTTCTATCAGGGTGTTAACAGTTGACAAACACTAAAAAACATAAACAGCTAGTCCAGTGTAAACATAAGCATATACAATTGTTACCCAAAAAGCCCCACAAAAACACAGTATCGGAATGAGATAAGCTAAGCACTGCCCACTCACAGCGCGAGGAAAGTCCTGTCACTCCCTCTAGCCAGGTGACTACGATAGCACGCTTTCTTTCCTAAGCTAAGAAAACATTAGTTTCTCCTGGGCAATTAGATTTTCATGAATAAAGATCATTAGCGGGAGACAACTTGGGGGCAGGGAGGAGAAATCAAGTTTTCCCGGAATGCAGTGGCTTTACCCTGCCTTACACACTATGTCCTCAACAATACATACCCTTTCTGCTTATTTTCCTGCTAGCGCTAGCAGAAGGCTTCTTGGCATCCATGACAGAATCAAATACGGCCGTGCTGGTGGGAGCTATTTCCAATTTGTTCTCTATATGACGCAGCTAGAATTTGAAGATAATGCAAATAAGAATATTGTTTTCCATTTTTAAGCTACAGTTTTTTTCCCCTAAAGTGTCAAATCTTTCCTCATTTTCATAAAGAATAAAACTGCAGGCAAAAGCAACTTCACAAGGCTCATGTTGCAAAACCGTATAGCCTTATGGCCAGAACTACGCAAGATTATTAAGATTTATTTTAAAAGATTATCTAGATTAGGTTTTGTTGCATAGTTTTGCTTCCATAAGTAGGCTGTTCTGAAGAAATTAATAATAACATGCCATTTAGAGTCTTAATGCTTGGCCTGAATGAAATATTAATTCCACTTGGAATAAATTCTACAATATTCTTTTCAAAACAGAGCATGATACAAGATTCCATGTATACAACCTCACACTGATGCTCAGCTATTAAAAAAAGAGATGGACAAGGCTAGGGGAAAGAGCCAAATCCCCTGAAAACCCAAGCTGTTTGGCTTCACTGAAGCCAGGATTTAGAAACTAGTTTGATATCTTAAGCATCTAAGTTAAGTTCCCACAGAAAGACAGCAATTCCAATGCTCAAAGATGGAAAATTACAAAATACACTGGTGGTGTCCCAGTTTCTGACTGGTTTGGGTAAGCAGGGGAGAGTTATTTTTTCAAGTTTTCAGAAAAATGAAAAGTCGCCACTTTCTTAAATAGAAAGATAATATTACACTCAAGAATTAGCAGGTATTACTATACTCAAGACTAAGCTTGCTGTGGCAAAAATTTCTTCTACTGTACATGGAACACATTTTCCAAGATACAACAATGTTCCACATGCATGTACTCCAACTGCTTGCCCTATTTTCAACTTGTTTAACAGACTGAGCAAAATAATACCTTGGATAACGCTTTTGTAGCCATTATCTGACTTGAAAAGGAGTAAGGAAAAAAAAAAAAAAGAACAGAAAAAAACCCAGTACTTACAGCAGCCTTAGTCTGAGAAAAAGTAGCCCATGCTGCAGTTAGATCTTACAGGGCAGAAACAAAGAAATAAATTTCTCATTAGAACATGGAAAACAATGAAATAAAATGTTGCTTCAAAACAATTTTCATGGGCTCACTAACCAAGTTCTTTTAATGACTCATTATCAGGCTGTTATCAGTCAAGACTCATCTTAAGAGAGCAATAAAATATTCAATGTAAAATTTAATGAGTTCACTAATGTATTGAATGTATTGTTGAGCTTGTATGTATTACTACACTTGAAATCAAATCTACCACACATTATAGGAGATATTTAGAAGATACGATAAAGCTGGTTACCTACCCCAACAAAAATGTCTCACATTTTTCCATTACACTATAGTTTAATTATTTTTTTCCCCTTCCATTTTCTTCTTCAGTAAGCTAAGCATGAATACTTGGTCACTGAAAGACTCCACTCAAAAACCAAGCTTTGAACATGTGAATTTTGAATAGTAATCTTTTTGAACTGTACACCCTACAAACAAAATAGAAGCAATGTTTGTGAAGAACAAGCAGGAGGCACTAATCAATTTCAACCTTTTAATCTAAACAGATAGCACATGCTCTATGCGCAATCCAGTTCAGTAGGATGCAGTAGTGTTTTCCTCTAAAAATATTTACTTCCTCAGTTTCTCTCTTCTTTTGGTTTTTAATGGTTTTCTTCTAATCTAATGGTTTATACAACATCTAAAACCTGCATGTGCATCAGAACCATGGAGAGTAGTAGTATTAAAGTTTAAAAAAAAAAAAACAAAAACCAACCAAACCTTTTCCTTATAGTAAAAAAGCTGCCAATTTCATTTCAGGTAAGATGTAACAACACAAAGGAAGACAGTTAAGGAAGTAACATAGAAACAGCTTTGCTTTGACTTTGAGAGATGGTGCTTCATATCTACAGAACACCTCGGTTTCACAAGGTATGTAATTTTAACAGAAACTGAACATATTGCAGGAAACAATCAGCAATAATGTCCTCTTACAGATAAAATAATAACCTGTCCCTACCTTCAAAATAACTTCTGGGGTCCAGTTTTGTCAGAGTGGAGATCATAAGACTGATCTGGAACCCCAGACTTAACACGGGACTCAGCTGCTCTACAGACTAGAGCTTTCTTCCTCTCAGGGATGTACTGCAATTTCTTTTTTTGCCCCCTCCTTTCCTAAATTACAGAGTAATCATGACAGTAAAAAGCTAACAGGATTTCTCCAGTTCAGGGAGACAAAAGTGCTCCAAGTCATCTTAGTGGTGAAGTACTGCTGCTATTCAAGTGTCTTTAGCTCTTCACCACTTTGGAACTGAGCACAAGTCAGGAGCAACTGCCTCTCAGGGTCTTCTTCACTTCTTTCAAGAGCCTGTGGTTCCCAATTTCTGTTCCTGCACTGCTTCTCCTCTACAGCATTCAAAAAAAATCTGTCTCTGCGCCATCTTGGCAACCATATCATAGGCTGGCACTTCCTAATGCAGATCAGCAAATACTCTGCAGATCAGAGTACAAAACTGCTATCTCTGCAGAAAGGAAGCTATATAACAAGATCTTAGCTTCCAAATTGAGGCAGGAGAATGTTTTCTATAGAAACTCCCCAAAGTTTCAAACAACTCATGATAAAACATCTTCCAAAACGAGGCAATAAAACAGAAAAAAAACCCATACCTCTGGTAGAATCCTTGTTTTGGTTGTGCCTTGGATTTTGTAGAGGCACCTCATTTGACTTGTTGCTCCACATCATGTTAATTTATCTACAAAAAAAAAATACTCATGTAAGAATCAAAGAGGTATAAAGTAAGAACAAATATATCTTATGCTAAAGAGAACATAGCAAACTGGCTAGATGGTCGTATCCAGAGGGTAGTGGTCAATGGCTCGATGTCCAGATGGAGATCAGTGACAAGTGGTGTCCCTCAGGGGTCTGTACTAGGGCCAGTGCTGTTTAATATCTTCATCAATGACACAGACAGAGGGATTGAGTGCATCCTCAGCAAGTTTGCAGATGACTGAGCGGTGCCGTTGACACGCCTGAGGGATGGGATGCCATCCAGAGGGACCTGGACAAGCTTGAGAAGTAGGCCTGTGTGAACCTCATGAGGTTCAGCAAGGACAAGTGCAAGGTCCTGCACCTGGGTCGGGGCAATCCCCAGTATCAGTACAGGCTGGGGAATGAAGGGATTGAGAGCAGCCCTGAGAAGGACTTGGGGGTACTGATAGATTAAAAGCTGGACATGAGCCAGCAATGTGCTCCCACAGCCCAGAAAGCCAACCCTATCCTGGGCTGCATCAAAAGAAGCGTGGCCAGCAGGTCGAGGGAGGTGATTCTGCCCCTCTGCTCTGCTCTGATGAGCCCCCACCTGGAGTGCTGCGTCCAGCTCTGGGGTCCTCAGCACAGGAAAGACAGGGACCTGTTGGAGAGGGTCTGGAGGAGGGCCACAAAAATTATCAGAGCGATGGAACACCTCTCCTGTGAGGAAAGGCTGAGAGAATTGGGGTTATTCAACCTCGAGAAGAGAAGGCTGCGGGGAGACCTTATTGCGGCCTTTCAATACTTAAAGGGGGCCCACAAGAATGACATGGATAGCCTTTTTAGCAAGGCCTGCTGCAACAGGACAAGGGGTTTTAAACTAAATTTAGACTGAACGCAAGGAAAGAATTTTTCACGATGACGGTGGTGAAATACTGGAACAGGTTGCCCAGAGAGGTGGTAGATGCCCCATCCTTGGAAACATTCAAGGCCAGACTGGATGGGGCTCTGAGCAACCTGATCTAGTTGAAGATGTCTCTGCCCATTGCAAGGGGGTTGGACTAGATGACCTTTAAAGGTCCCTTCCATCCCAAAGCATTCTATGATTCTACGATAACCTTGATCACTATGATGAACATTCACCTCATATGATGATTTCAAACTCACATTATGAATGAAATCAGAAAATCAGCACCAAATCACAAATGCATTTACAGCTTGCAGTTGTTCAGAAACCAAGTAATTCTGGAAAAAGACGGGTTTGCTCTGTTCTTGTTTTATTTGCTACGAAGAAGAGTGAACTTGATAAAAGGAAACCCAGAGGTCATGCAATTTAGATCATAGTAATAAGTATTCCAGCAAGTCTGAAGATGACCACACTGAAACACTGCATATGAAGAGGTAACAGAGGCAGCACCACAGAGCTTGAACCTATAAAGGCTGAGATGACAAGATGACCTGACAGACAAACGCGTCACCTATCTCTGTTAAAGGAAAAGGCAGAACAGAACTGTGCAGCAGGACACTACAGCCAGGAAAAATACAGACAAGACTGGAGCTGCCATTGTTTTCCTGTGAACTTCAAAGGCAAGGCTCCCAGTGAATCTAAAAAAGCATGAACCCCTCTGAGTAACAAATCAGGCAGCCACTATCACCAGAGGAATATTTAACACATGAGGAAAAAAAAAGCTACTCAATCAAGAAAGATAATTTTTTAAAAGAAAAGGCAGGTAATTTCCACAAATACTTATTTCTCAATACTTCCACTGCAAAAGATGCGCTGCCATAGGTCAATCTGTACGAGGCTTTAAAGAAGTGCTATATAAGAAAAAAGTAAGTTTAAGACACCTAAGAGGAGCTCATACAGCCAACAAAAACTCTGATTATTCAGTACTGCCGCTACCCTCTCATTAAGGACCTCCTATCTGGTGGCACGTGCTTACTGAGCTCTTTTCACAACTAACTGAGGACATTTCTGTTATGGAAAGAAAAAATTAGGTGAGCACAAAATTCACACAGGAAGTTATGGACCTCTGAAAGAGTCATAAAGGCACATTTTCCTCTCTCTTCTCATGCACTCCCAGATATAATTTTTCTTATTTTATTAACTTCTGAAAATTTCTTTTGCTTTCACTTCCCTACATAGTGTGCCACATAAAAGGGCATTCAAATATAAAGGTCGTTCTTCTGACAAAAGGTGACCGAACATCCCATAAAATTACCACTGTGTGCTACTTACTGGAACAGATCATTGCCTATCTATTTTGTGACAAGGATTTTTATCATATATGGTTTTAAGGATACTCACAGTGATCAACAGTGAAGTTTGGTCCTCACATTCAGTCATATAGCTTGTATTTATGGCAGTAAGTTATCCCACAAAACTGTTCCTATACCCCAAGAAAGACTATCAATAATAAGAACACAGGACTTCAAAAGACCTTTAGTTCTGCCTTTCTTTAAAGAATCCAAATAAATGTTAGAAAGAGT